TCACATTGATTAATATTAAACAGGCACGAATGAAAAGAAATGAACTGAGCATCCAGCTCAGGGAGCTAACAAGAGAGCACAGGAACCTCAGGCGGAAGAAGGAGCTGATGACAGTGGAAACACAAGTGACAGTCCGAGGACCCAAGGACCCACCGCCTGGTTCACAATTTAAACAGGGAAAAGAACTAGCCAAATAAGCAGCGAACATCACCGAGAGGACAGGCAGAGAAGATAGATGCACGGAATAAGAACAACAACACACAAAAAAGAATGGTCAGACGCTGGAAAAACAGAACATTGCAGCCAAACAAAGAACATGAACCGGAAGCTCCTGAAATACAATACAGTCACCAGAGAGGCAAATGTATACATCTCTGAGTCAACATTTCCCTCAGAAGCACCCGGAGGTGGTGGTTTGGATTTGATAAGATGCTAGTTTATAAAATCAGCGACTCGTGGGGGGTCTGGCTCACCAGCACCAAGGCTATGCCCTGATCTCGGAAGGTATGCCAAGTCTCCAAGTGTAATTTCTGAAAAGACGCGATCGTTCCATTGAGATGTCTCATTTAAACCACGCCACTTAACATCTACAGCGAAGTGCTGAGGCAACATTTCTCTTCACATAGGTCCATGGCATCTGGCTTAAGATATTAAGTCAATAAAAACAATTTACTGAGCCATAATTACTAAAACATAGTTCCAGTCCAGTGAGCTAACATTCAGTTCCCAAGAGGCACGAAATTCAATATGGCTATTTTCCCATTGCCTCGAGCACATTGCACATTCAGTGAGACAACATAGCCATGCAAACAAGGTTGCCTTTCTGGGAGAAACACTCATCTATTTAAGTAATTTCTCACATTCACTCCTTCATAATTAAAAAAGAAGAAAAGGAACCACTTCAATATCTCAATCTTACAGAATTAGCTATGAGCTGACATTTGGTCCCAGAATGAACACCCATAGCTACCCTGTTTCCCCGAAAATAAGATAGTCTCTTATATTAATTTTTGCTTCCAAAGATGTGCTAGGTCTTATTTTCAGGGGATGTCTTATTTTTCCATGAAGAAGAATACGGTACACATGTATTGTTTATTGTTTTATTAAAAGAGATCTCACACTTCCTGTCTGCTCCGGCTGTGCCACAGCCAACAGTGAGTGAACTGCGTGGCGGTGCCCATCGCTACGGTCCAGAGTCCAGAGTTATGGTAGCTTCGAGGGCCTTATTTCTGGGGAGGTCTTATTTTCAGGGGGATGCCTTATATTTCAGCGAGAGGCAAAACTGGAAGTAGGTCTTATTTTGGGGATGTCTTACTTTCGGGGAAACAGGGTATAGAGGGTGTTGTTACCAAAGCAATATCAGAGGAAGTCTATAACAAGGGGGCCGGGATGTGTAGGAAATCCCCTCACTACTGTTAGAAAATCACTTTTGGAGAAGTAACTTGAAACAAGCCCTTGATAAAGGATGGCTTTGCAGCCACCCTTGTTTATACAAACAGCCAAGCTTGTACATCTCTAGTGGCCTGGATGTCATTTAGTTCCCTCTGAGAACGACTGGGTGGCACCAAGTGACAACAAGGAGAAAGGTCCAAATGCTGATCAGGGAGCCTGCTGGTATGTTCATAGGAAGCTAAAGGTACGTGTGTGCATGCATGCGTTAGCATGTGCCCATAGATGAAGTGAAGGAGACATAGGGCATTTAGTGATGGGAGGGCCTTAACAACACGTTTGGGCCAACTTACTCTCAAACTCCTCCCCACCTCAAAGAAACAAAACAAAACAAAAAGGTAAGAACACAAGACTCAAAGAGGGATTTGTAGTGCGAGGCCACAGATTACTTGGGTATAAAATACAACAAAGGCATTCTATGGAGACGGGCTGGTATTGTGGATGACACATTGGCCTACTAAGCACAAGGTCAGCAGTTCAAACCTATCAGTTGCTCCATGAGAGAAAGATGAGACTTTCTGATCTCATTAAGATTTACAGTCTTTAAAACTGGCAGTTCAACTCTGTCTATAGCAGCGGTTTTCAACTTATGGGTTGCGACCCCATTGGGGGTCAAGTGACCCTTTCACAGGGGTCACCAATTTATAACAGTAGCAAAATTACAGTGATGAAGTAGCAACGAAAAAAATTTTATGATTGCGGGTCACCACACATGAGGAACTGTATGAAAGGGTCGCAGCATTAGGAAGGTTGAGAACCACTGGTCTACAGGGTCACAATGAGTCAGAATTGACTCAGTAACAGTGCATTTGAGAAGGGTCTCCTGGTACTTAATGTGCTCTGAACTCTAGTTCCATTTCATTCTTTGATATCATACAGAGCTTCAGGTGGGGAGGGGGGAAACACAGATGTCCAACAATTTCTCCATTCAAACCAGAATCACAAAGTGATTTACTCCCTAAAAATCTGTGTAGCCAGTGAACAAAAGTAGCTAGCCAGTTTACAAAGTGAAGTTGAAATTGGTGTTAGTGAGGAGGGTTTTAAAGGTCACCAAATACATACTGTGAACTCCCCCAATGTATATGTCATTTTACCTTCAACCTCAGGGCCTTGTGTTCCAAAGTAAATATTTCAATAGCAGTTCTTGTCGAGAGAAGGTGGGTACATGTGCCTGACAATGGGGAGATGCCAGGCTTGGTGCTACACCTGTCTTGCCCTTTCTATGTCTCTAGTTCTATGCATCTTTTCATTTTAAAGTTGTGAATACTCATTGGGAGGCACCCTGGTAGCTTTGTGGAATAAGCATTGGGCAGCTAATACAAGAGCGGCAGTCTAAACTCATCAGCCACTCCATGGGAGAAAGAGGAGGCTGTACACTCCTGTAAAGATTTATAGTTTCAGAATCTCTAGGGAACTATGATGGAATTGGTTCAAGAGCAGTAAGTGCGATTTTTTGGTTTATACTCACTGTATACCACGGCTATTCTTGTAGGAAACACAGTTTGAGACTGTATAAAGTGTGAAGATAATTGGAACAACAGTTTCTAGAGAAGTCCTAATCTCCACACTGCCACAGATGGCTTTGGAGATTTACAACGTGGGTTTATCTGTTGGAAAGAAATGATCCAACCGATGATACCTGAGACATGAGTGGCAGTTCAACACCTTAATCCCAAAGGTGGATTCAAAGTGATCATCAGAATGTGTGTCTGTGTGTGAGTGATTCTCAAAGGACATTTTGACAAAAAATACTGCCACAGGGAAATGTCTTTTCTTCAACTAAAAGCTGCAGGTAGTAAAAGCTGTAATGATCTGATAATCAGAAATTAGGTAAAATGGAAACATGACAGGACTTGACTACATTATATGCAAAAGAAGCCGTAGCAGCCTCCTCTCCCCACAGAGTAGTGTAATCTCAATTGTGCTGCTCTCGTCGGTTGCGGAAGCATCCAATTCAGAAATGGTCCAGCGGTGATTCACTGGGTAGTCGCGCAGCACGTTACCTGTCTGAAGAACTCCTCCAGAAGTGACATGGTCCAGCGATGATGGAGGTCCCAGGCTTTAGCTGGGTGACTAATATCTGCTGTGTGAAGCATCAGCGATAAAGCTTTCGGCTTCTCAATTCTGTAAACCCAGAGGAATGAGCACATGTTGATTAAACTCTTCAGAATCTCAACAGGAGCTGATAGAAATCTACTACTTTTAAAATCATTTCTCACTGGTCCACCTCAAATCCCACTCCAGCTCAATTGTTGCAAGGACACTGTTGTACCCTATGGCTGGTAGGGTCCTCACCTCGATATGAACATATTATATTGAACAAATCTGATTCAAAACCATTTCTGAAATGACTGCACCAACGGAAGGGACAGGGAGAATCCAGGAGGCCCTAAGACTTCTTTTCCTTTGTTCCCTTTGCCGTCATTGGAATTCCGATAAGTTGAATTCCAAATAGGAAATATTTTAAATTCTAATTGAAATAATTAAGCTCGAAAGGAAATAATTAAATTCTATCCAGCAAGCTGTTAACCGGTTCCAGTGAAAGCCTTCCTAATTGTGGCCTGTACAATTCTCCAGCTTTCTCCTCCGAGCACGACCCCTTTCGGGCCACTCAACAAAGTCATGGCCACGGCCCAGCTCTGCACGCCTGTGGACACACTGCGCGCAGGTCCACTCACGCCTCTGGCTGCTGCAGAGCCGTCTTCATGGCCTTGATCTGCTGGAAGTGACAGGACATGTCCGTGGCCATCACCATCTCGATCACCAAGGTCCGAAACTCCCTGTCAGGGACACCCCCGGGAAAAAAGACGAACGTGAAAACAACAACAAAAACAAGTAAACACGAGTTCCTTACTTATCAGTTCTAATACAAGCAGTCGATGATTTCTGACACTTCCTATCTATTCTGAGCCTTTTAGTGAGCTTTTCATGAGAAATAAAATGAACGTTAGTAATTTAGAAGAAGACCACTTATTAGAAATGCTACGTAGAGAATACAGGTCTGGTTTGGAAAATTAACTCAACAGAAAACATTCTAATGAGCATGAAAAGTACAAAGCATGGCTTTCTCAACTGATTCAGTTTTAAGGGATAATGATTTTGAAAATGTTCTTCAGAGGAAGATGGATAATTCATATCATTCTTTTGGTATATTCTTTTTTTAAAGAAATCAACTTTATTGACTAATTTACATTTCAAAAACCTTTTTCCTGTTGTATAATTCCTGAGTTTCAACAGTTGCATAAACTTGAAAACAGTTCAATACCCTTGAAAACACCACCCCACATTCAGAACATTCCACAAGCCTCCACCACTACCAGCCAGTGTATCCATTCACCTACAATTCTGTTATTCTTTCCCCTTGAGTGGGGTCAGACAATGTACCCATTCACCTACAATTCTGTTATTCATTCCCCTTGAGTGGGGTCAGACAATGTATCCATTCACCTACAATTCTGTTATTCATTCCCCTTGAGTGGGGTCAGACAATGTATCCATTCACCTACAATTCTGTTATTCATTCCCCTTGAGTGGGGTCAGACAGTCATCATTGCTTTCCATTCCCCCTTCCCTCCTCCCCACCCCCTCTTCCAGTACCCTCAGGGAATCATTACTCCCATTACTATTTCTAAAGGTTTTATCTATCTTGGATTTCATGTATTGAATGATCTTAATTATACAAATGAACATATACAGGTCTAACAAGATCAATAGTTAAAACTAGGACCATAATAGTAAGGGGATGGAATATTAAAGAACTAGTGGATAGTTATGTGTTTCATCAGTACATTCTGTAATTCTTTATGGGAGTAGAAAGTCTTATCTTTCTCCTACAAAGTGAGTGGTGGGTTTGAAATGCTGACCTTGTGGTAAGCAGCCCAACTGGTAATCACTCCACCACCAGGCAGGAGTCAAAATCTTTTTTTTCCCACTTGAGTATACAGTAGTCTCAATATCATTTGTTGAAAATATTTTTCTTTCTTTGATAAAGTGCTTAACTATCTTAATAATAATTTATCATAGGAATAATTTTTGAACTCTCAATTCTGTTCCATGAATCCATAAGCTTATTCTTTCAACAATAACCCACCTTCTTGATTACTTGATAGTGTTGTAAAATCAACATTCTAACCTTGTTCTTTTAAAAAATAGTTTTGTTTGTATTTCTACATAAATTTTCAAGTACCTTGGCAAGTTGAGCCTAATTGTTCTGGGATTGTGTTGAATCTATAGCTAAACTTGAGAACACTTTATAATTTAATAATACTGCATCTTCCACTACATGAAGCAGTATCTCTCAATTCACTTAGATTCTCTTTATATCTATGGTTTTGATGACCAGCTGTTGCACATGTATTTTATAACTACTCCCTAATATTTTATATATTTTTATAGTATAAAAAGAATTATTACTTCATTTCATTTTCTGATAGTTTACTATTTTGTGTTTGTTATATTAGCATTGCATCATGTGATCATGATTAGTTCTAATAGCTGATAATTGATCCTTAGGAGCATCTATCCTTCTCGGTTCCTTTCCTGGCCTCTAGCTCTCTCATTTGTGTCATCCTTACCTCCAATCATCCTTTGAGAGATTGACCAAAATATTCATTTCCTCATCCTCTTGCAGAAGACGGTAGGCTGCACTTAAATGGTGATTTTCTAAGACAGACCTGTCATTGTACAGAATGGCTGGATCGGATCTGCACAGAAAGCCAAGCAAAATGTTTAGGAGCCTCAACACTGGGCCTATTCCAAGGGACTGTCATAAGCTGGGATGGCCTATCTCTCTTTCTCTGTATGGAAATTATCTTTGTCCTATTCTGTTCTATCTACCCAAAATGGAATACTAAAACTAACATTTCTGGGCACAATTATCAAAACATCCATGCAGGGTATTTTAATATCAATAGATGGGTGTGACATGTGATCCCCAATCTGAGAACATTCTGAAACTGTTCTATAGATAGATTTCTATTACCTGAATCATTAGCCCACCTGATTTTTATTAAAAAAAATCATATAACACCAAATTCCCTGGTATGTGTTAGAATGTCTTTAGCTACTGATTTTCCATTTTATTCAATTGATCTATTTGCTTTTGTGTTTGTTTGTTTGTTTTGAACTTCTCCAAACACATGCCATCTGGTGGGTATAGTTTGTGAGATGCCTCTTGTAGGAGTAGCTTGATCTTAAAATTTTCCCTTGAAAAACCGGATGTGGAAAACGGACAGTTTAGAACATGAGAATCATATGACAACCGTGAGTCCCTTTCTCAAAGACTATTGTGCAAATAAATGTCACTAATCACAGGGCAGGATACGATTTTAGTGTTTTAAATTTAAGTTAACTGACATTAAATTCAAGTTCCACTCTCCCTGCAGTGTTCTCTCTTGGCCTTTCCCTCTATCTGCACCCCCTAACCCTGCTGTCAGAGTCTCTCCAGTTCCACAGCACGGTCCTCACTCACTCTCACTGCCATCGAGTTGATGCCAGCTCACAACGAGCCTGTAGCAGAGGGTAGCACTGTCCCAATGAGTTTCTACGAATATAACACTTCGCGGGACTAGAAATCCCCTTGCAGTTAGCAGCCCCACGCAAAAGCACTATGCCACATCACAGTCTTTGGAGAAGGTAAATTCGAAAGTTAGGAGGGAGTAAGTAAGATTTCATGCTAAGGAAAAATGACCACGGACAGGTACTGTTCACCTGGAATTCTATACTGAGAATACTAAATATAAACCCACAGCTGGCAAGAAAAATATACAAACTCACTGTGTATGTGTGTGTTGTGTGTGTGTGTGTGTGTGTGTGTGTGTGTGTGTGTTTTAATGGATTAGGAGATTTAGTCTGGGACCCTTGAATCCTGAAAAAGCTTTTCATTTACTTTGCAGTTCACTTGGGAGGTTGCACAAGTGGCCTGTGGTGTCAGTGGCCTGCATGCGACAACCTAGCTCTCCAAACCTTATGGCAAGGACGAGCAAGCAGGAAACCCAGGAGAATGAGGAAAGCATCTCACCACCGCCCCAGAGACCAGAGAGTCAGAGCGCTTCATTACTGTCGGCGTCCACAGGAAGGCTCGAGTTCCGGCTTGTCTTCACTGATCTAAGTTACATGGCACCTGGGCCGGTATGTAAACTCCCCATATTCTCTAGAAACAGGTGGACTATGCAGACCACGTCAATCAGCAAACAAGCAAATGGATGCTGATTGAAGAGGAAAGGGTACCCAAGCTTGATTTTCATAAAACCTGAGAATTAGGATCAAATGTCTTTCATAAACCAGAAGCCTTGATGGAAGCCTCTCAGGTTGATGTCATGTTTATAAATTCTTTGTTTTTTTAGCTCCCCAGGTAATCAAAATAGGACAGCTATGCAGAAGAAAGGTGACGAATACCTTTTGACATCTAAATCTCTACCCCTCCCCACTCTTGTCTCTTCTCCAAACACAGCAGCCTCCTCACCGGGTCTGAATGTGGAAATTGTTGGTGGTGCCAGTGTGCTCATAGTCATGGATGGCAGCCGAGAAGATGATGGCAAAGATCTCCAGCTCCGTCAGCCAGTTCTGAAAGGGAGAGGACAGAGCAGTCAGATCATATCTCTTTCTCAGGCGGAGGCTCGGACAGCACCCCCACAGCGCTGCCTTTCCACCCCGCAGCTGGCAAGCGATTGCCAACGACCAGCTTTCTGACAGACAGCAATAACGCCTTTTTCCGTAACGAGGCTGGGGGAGATGCCATTGGAAGCGGCATGCCCAGCAAGGTGGAAAGAGAGAACAGGTAGTTCTTTTTTCCAGGAAAAAGATCGTGAATGGGTCCCCTTTATAAATTCCTAGGCAAAGGAGGAAAAAAGAAAAGATTTAAAATTTCAGTGCAATGGGAAGAATCAAGAGTAACCAAAAATTGAGTGTCTGGTTATGGAATAGCTACTAGATAGCCTATGCTACAGGAATATTTACTAGACCAGCAGTGCTCAACCTGTGGGTCGCGACCCCTTTGGGGGGCTCAAATGACCCTTTCACAGGGGTTGCCTGCTTCATAACAGCAGCAAAATGACAGTGATGAAGCAGCAATGAAAATAATGTTCTGGTTGGGGGGTCACCACCACATGAGGAACTGTATGAAAGGGTCGCGGCATGAGGAAGATGAGAGCCACTGGACTAGACTGTGGACAGAGGCAAAGAGAGAAATGCCAGAGCCTTTCACCCTGTGCCTGCTGATGTCCCCCCACACTACCAAATTTGCTGCAAATCAGTCTTCCTCAAAGAGCATTCCCTGGACAACAGGATTAACAATCATCTGGGAACTTGGTAGAAATGGAACCGTTTTCTGTTGCATTTATTATCATTATGATGAACACATACATGATTTCACCTTCCCAGAATGAGAAGCACGATTTACGTCTTACAATCTCATGAACACCGTTGTGGAGAGGAGTCAACAATGTGACATTGTGGAAGAGGTGGCTCTAATTTTCCTTTTCCTCTTGCCTCATTCCCTCCCCCCTTTTCTTTCTTTGTCTCTTTCTAAAACCTTTCTCAAAATAACCTCAATGGAACATTTGTAATTCTAATATTTCAGTGTTCTGTACAAAACCTAAATGGAGCACTTGTACGCTAATACTGGTGGGGTTTTTGTTGCTGCTGTTGTTTTTAACTTTCTGTGGTGAGTTGGGTGAAAGTTGAGAGCAAATTGGTTGCTGGTTCTCTCGGGACAATTCACACACATTTTCATCTCTGACACTGCTGGCAGTGCCCACAGTGTGATCACACTCCTCCCACTCAGTCCCTGCTTACCATTTCCACGAGTCCTCCTTCCTTATCCCTTCCCACCTCCTGGGATTTATCTCTGGACAAATGTTCTCTTGATCTCTTATCACTGATTTTCTAAAGAATGTATGATTCTCTAGGAAGTTTCACCTTTATATAGGCCTATCATTTGGCTCATTAAAATTGAGACCAGTTTCAGCCCTGAAGGCTGCCTACAGGCCTTAATCTTGGGGATTCCACCAGTCTCTGTCAGACACGGATTCCTGGTCGCTCTCATTATTTTGAGTTTTAGTCCATATTTTTCTCCTACTCTTTCCAGAACTTCCTAGAGTAACCCTTTGCTGATTGGTCAGCAGTGATAGCCAGGCATTTTCTAGTTCCTGTGGTCACAGAGGCCTGAGCCTGGGGCCCATTCGTCCTTTGGACTGATTGTTTCCATGCAACTTGGATTTTTGTCCATCTTTTTGGCTCCGGACTGGGCGAGATCAGTAGCTGCCCCATAGAAGGCTGCTCATAGGCTTTTAAGAATCTGATCACTATTCACCAAAATTGGATGTAGAGCCTTGTCCTTGTAGACTATGTTATAATTGACCTTGATGTCACTTGAGACTGCAGTCCTGAGCACCTAGACACAATGACTCATTCCCGCTAAGAGTCTCATTATGACTAAGAAGCTTTCATAACTTTGTCACTTGCATGGTCTACTATATTCATAGGTATATTTGCAACACATATGCAATTGAACTATCGAATTGTATGCTGTGTAAATCATGTACCAATGGAACTAAAAATAAAAAAGGAACATCACTTATGAACATTAAAAAAAAAATTAACGTCCCCAAAAATATAAGTGTAAAAATATCGTCTGTCAAACCTATATAAATATCTGTGGGTGTAGACTAATTTTCTTCCCAAACCTGTACAACATGCATGTCTATCTATAAGTCCAATCATAGGTTATTGTTATTACTATTATTTTAAGATTAGATATGCAATAGTATTTACTTACATTTGTTTCCATCAACTCTTAACCCTCTCTCTGATTTTTGTAATTGTATATCATTTTTCAATCCACCCAAGTTACCATGTGCCTACCCATTAGTTAGTGATTTTTATTATTATTTTAGGTTTTACCTTTAGGGATTTCATTCATCTTGAGTTCGTGTCTGTAATGGTGAGAGATGTGGACTCTGCTTCTTTTTTCTGCATGTGAATATACCATTTCGCCAGCACCATTTGTTAAAGAGACTAGTTTTTCCCAAGTTAATAGGTTTCGATCTTTAGTCAAAGACTAGGTGTTCATAGGTTGCTGGATTTATCTCTGAGTTCTCAATGTTGCTCCTTTGGCCTATGTGTCTGTCATTGTACTAATATCACACTGTCTGGCTACCATGGCTTTATAGTAGGATAGGATTTGAGATCAGGATGTGTGAGGGCTACTCATTAGTCAGCCTTTCCTAGTGCATTGCTTGTTGACAATCTCTTAGATAAACAAAGTACCATTATCCTATCCCACCCATTTCTCCCTGACTCTCTCTCCTCTCTCCTGCCATTGATTTTTTTCCTATAACTTCATGCAAAGATAATTTAACTATTTAAATTAATAATATGAATAGGAGACAGAACCGGATACACAAATCTGAGTCACTCATGATCAACTCAGCCAACAAAAATTACTTAAATATATCATCGTTCCCACAGTTTCATAGATAGCTGCAACTACTATGTATGTTTATTTTGCTGTGTAGCTGTGCATATGTACAAGAGGTGGACACAGGCTGGAGGTATATAACCACAGGAAGCCAGAGGAAAGTGACACAAGCAATTCCCCTTTGCTAGAAGGGGCGTTAACTCCAATCCATTGCCATTGAGTTGATTCTGCTTCAGAGCACCTCATACCCATCAGCCAATCCAAAGAAGAGAGAAGAGGCTGTCTGCTCCTGCAGAGATCTACAAAGCTTGGTCTGTTTCTCCAGAGACTGTTTCCTCTTGACAACAGGTCGAAAACACTGCATGCGATGAAATCTTACCATCCTCTCTTCTAAGGAGCGTTCTGACCGTGCTCCCTTTAAGACAGAATGCCATCATTCAAACGCGCCAGTTCTTCTCCGGTCCTCTTTATCCTTTGTGCAGCTTTCAGATGTGCGTGAGGCAATGGAAAATACCCTGGTTTAGGTCAAGCGCACCTTTGTCCCCAAAGTGACATCCTTGCTCTTTAACATTTTAAAGAAGTCTTGTGCAGCAGATTTGCCCAATGCAACATGTCACTTGATTTCTTGACTGCTGCTTCTATGAGCATTGCTGTGGATCCAAGTAAAATGAAACCCTTGATAATTTCAACCTTTTCTCCCTTTATCATGATGTTGTCTCCTGGACTGGTTGTGAGGATTTGGATTTTCTTGTGGAGTGTACTTCACACTGAAGGCTGCAGTCTTTGACCTTCATCAGTAAGAGCTCCAAGTCTACTTGACTTTTAGCAAGCAAGGTTGTCTCTTCTGCAAATTGCATGCTCTCTTAATACTTCTAATGTTTCCCTGAGTGGTACAAACTATTAATGTGCTAGCAGGTTAGAGATTTGAAGGTTAGAATGTATTCAGAAGAAAGGCCTGACGATCTCCGACGATCTCTGCTGAAAAAGCACAGCTAGTGAAAACCCCGGGGAGCACAGTACCCTCTGGTGCACGCTGGGATACCTTGAGCCAGAGCTGATGCAACAACACCTTGAATTTTGTTAGTTTTTAAATTATTGACTTAATAAACAGGATGCTATATGTTGTGAAAACAATAAGACCCAGGAATTCTCCCTCTGAAAGAAAAAAAAAGATGAAAAATTTATGTCATTGTGCAGGGCAGAGTGGGGGGAAGCAATGATAGTTGAGAAGTATAGCTTTGGCGTTTGAAATCTTTTGACCTAAGTCAAAAGCAGAGTGGAGCTGGTCTGATTTACATCTATTCATTCAACAACTCTTCAATCTAATTCTCTTCAAGGACTTTCTCTTAGGAAACAGCAATAAATAAATAGATAAGTCTGAAAGGCTTCAAGCATCCTCTAAGCACTTTAGTTAAGCAATAATGAGTAATATAAACAGAGTACAATGAGTAATAGTGTTGATGTTGAAACCCAGGCACCACTTTATCAATGGAATGTTTGGATTCCTTATGTGCCTTACAGTTTATAAAACTAAAATGATTTAAAGCACCTTTCCCTTCTTGGTTTGTAAGGAGAGGTTAGAGTAACAATATGTTCTCCATTCATCAGACTGCTTCTCACTGTTTTTGTAAGCTTTGCAATGGAAGACATTTGTTTTGAACTCCATTTCTAAGGAAGAGTGGGTGGGAAGCAGTTTCTATATTTAAGAATTATTCTGAATGTGGCCTGAACTGATAATGAAAATTCAGTGGTAAATGGCAAACAAGCTGATTTAAGCACAGCATGCAGTGCATCGTGATGACTAGATGCTATGGTGTTACGTTTATGTTAATGACAACTTGCATTAGCATAAATGCTTGACCGTTTTCTTGAGGACTGGAGCAAAGTATGACTCATCTTCACATCTGTATAGTTTAGTGGTAACAGTATAGAGGAAGTATTAACTAAATCTATGCTTGAAGTTATTGTTAGGTATCCTCAAGCCAGTCCCTAACCTTGACTCAGAGGGACTATCTGTTCAGCAGAAGGAAACACTGCCCAGTTCTGTGTTATTTTCAGAGTTGTTGCTCTGTTTGAGCCACTGTTGCAGGCACTGTGTCAATCCATCTTATCAAGCGCCTTCCTCTTGTTCAGGACCGCTCTACTT